TATAAAATCAAGAAATTGATGAGAAGAAAATAAAGATGGTACTATATAACTAACAGGTGTGTGTGTGTGTGTATTCGTATTTCTATCGTTATCAATTTAAACAAAAATCAATTATTAAATAATATTGATTATTTATAGAAAATATACAAACATTTTTCCAAATAAAATTTGAAACTTAACATATTAGGATTGTCCCATAAGTTTTTTCCTTTTTTTTTTTTCTTTTTTTTCGGATATTTCAACCCAAATTTTTTCTTTTACCAATACAAGCTCGAATAAAATTGTTTAATTTTAATTATTTTATTTAATTGAATTTAAGTAAAAATTTGGTAGACAACAACAACACAAATATTAAATATTCTAATCTGAATTAAAATTATATAATTGTCCCATATTGTAAATTATTATTATTATTATTATTATTAACAATATAAAATCAAGAAATTGATGAGAAGAAAATAAAGATGGTCGTCGTTTATTCAGGCTATGTGCTCTGATTATTCGCCAAGATCGATCGATGTTAGGGGACGTGAGAAAGCTTTGAGGGTGGCTTGATATAAAAAAAAAAAAAGAATAAAAAAAAAAAGGAAAGAAAGAAAAAGTGAAAAAAAGAGAGAAAGAGAGAGAGATAAAGTGAGTCAGGGATAGAAAGAAGAAGAAGAGGATACAAAATCTTTTGGTTTTGGGTTAAATCGTAGAAGTGGTGGTGGTATGGGGGGGTTAGGGGGTGAAAGGGGTTGGTTTGAGTATTAAAAGTACATACTGACCGACGATTTCTTTTTATCTAACGACAATCAGTGGCAAAGGATTAATATTTCTTTGATAGTTTGTGTATGTGTGTGTGTGTGTGTGTGGTGTGTGTGTGTGACTTATGTGAACAGAATAGTATATAAGGTGTGTCTCTTTGAAATATTTACATATATATATATATATTGTAAAATATATGTGTTATATGTGTTATATGTGCATATATGTATGTGTTTTGTGTATTTATACATGAGATATATGCACGTAGTTGTGTTGGTGGTTCGTACGGTGACCTAAAAGCCATGCCTAGCTAGTTCTAGCATCCTAGTAAATGATTTTCTACTTTATCATCCTATAGTCTTCTTATTTTTCTTCTATTTTGTTCTTTTCTTCTTCATATTTTCTGTACCCAGCAGCAAACAAGCAAGCAAAACGATGGTGTCATCTAAAACGTAGTTTTTATTTTCGACATAATTTTTATAACATTCGTTGATTTATATTTTTAACATGTTCGAATTATTCTTTTTTTCTATATCGATTTAATTATTTCTATTATTATTTATTTTTATATTTATTAATTATATGCATTTTTGAAAATGTGTTTGTTAGTGTAATATAAAAAAGATGAAGGGGAAGGGTTATGGTTGTTTCTGGTTTTGTATAGGTTTATTATATGTAATCAGGTTTTTTATTGCACAACTTATAAAATTTTTTATAATGTCTTATCATTATATTTCACTTATGTTTATCTCACATTTTTTCTATAGGTTTATTATTATTATTAATTAGTTTGTTTTTATTGTTTGATAATTGTGAAGTAATTGTTTGTTTTAATTATTATTTTTATCGTGGATTTAGATTGAAAAAAAAAAAAGATATAGGATGATTGTTTAAAATTTGTTTATATGAATTAAATGTGGAATATATTAATTGTAATATATTGTATACATTGTATAATTGTAATATATTGAAATATTGTATAATTGTAATATATTGTATACATTGTATAATTGTAATATTTGTTTTCAGTATTTGATGAGTGGTTGGGCGAGAGGATACAGTTTTCGTTGTCAACCAGTTGATTACTCGAGCAATCCTTTAGCACTCAGGATGGCGAATACATGTTGGTGGTATTACTTCAGTAAATTCACCGAATTCTTCGATACGGTAAGAGAACAATCAAAATATATAAACAATTGTGGAAAAAAAGAGTATGAAAAAGAAATAATTAATCAAAATGCAGAAACTTATCCTTATTGTCTTTTGTTTTATCTTGTAAAAAATGTTTTTCAAAAAAAAAAAAAAAAAAAAAAAAAAACGTGTAAAGTAACGTCAATGCAACGTGTATAATCACTTATAGATAATAATAATCAAATATTAGTTGCATATATCGCATCATGTTGTAATTTAACGATAACTTTAAAGATAGAATATGAAAAAAAAAAAAACAATTTCAAAAAAAAAGAAAAAAGATATAATACAATATATTTAGTTAATTATAACATTTGTAATTTTTATTTCACAGTTATTCTTTATCCTGAGAAAAAAGAATCAGCACGTGTCAACCCTTCACGTGATACACCACGGTGTTATGCCATTTTCCGTATGGATGGGAATGAAATTTGCACCTGGTGGTCATAGTACATTTTTTGCCCTATTGAACACATTCGTCCACATAATCATGTATTTCTATTACATGGTTGCAGCAATGGGCCCACGTTATCAAAGATATATATGGTGGAAAAAATATTTAACAACGTTGCAAATGGTAAGTTTAATGAAACAATATAATAGATTTAATCAAATTATTAATTTTAATAATAATTCCATATATAT